GTCAACAACCAGAAAAAAATGTTAATTTTGACAAAAAAAATTTAGGAATAAAATGTCTAAATCAGGAAAATTGTATATGAACAAACCCTTCTGAAAAAATCTTCATAATATATATAGGAATAAAACAAAAAATTGAGAAAACTGCCTTTAAAGATATATACTGTAATTGAAATCTACAGATGCAAATAGATCAATTCTCTAAAAGCTACAGTTAAAAGTGTGTTATGGATGTTTTCCTTCTACTAGTTTGAAAAAAAAGCCAAAATCTCAAAATTGACATGCATGAATAAACAGTGTTTTTGCCGGTAGTGTCTGGCCTTAAGTTTAGATGTTTGTCCTGGAAAACAAGAGAGAAATACAGAGGAAGATCTAATTCCACATTACTAAATTAAAGATATATCGCCGCTGCCGGATTGTTGAATGTTTCATATGTTAAATGCGTTCGGCGGGAGCTTGTAATGGTGGACCTCACGCTCATCACACACCATGAGTTCTGACACGTCACAGTCTCAAGGAGGAAACTATATATAAAGCTTTGTATTTGGCAAGGACTCCAGCCTTGCTGTGACGCATGGACCCCTATGGCACGTGTGAGTTATAGCACTCAGGTTTTGTTTTTCCGCTGCGTATACTGTAAAACGACTGTGTTTGTGCTTTCTGTACTAGTGATGTGCTTCCTCTGTATTATTGCAACCCTCATTCTGAGCCTGAAATGATCCGTTTTAAAGGTGCTTTCTTTAAAGGATTACTTCACTTCAGAATTACAATTTCCTGATAATACTCTCGCCCATGTCATCCAAGATGTTCACGTCTTTCTTTCTTCAGTCGAAAAGATTTTCTCCATATAGTGTCTTCAATGGGGTCCAACGGGTCGAAGGTCCAGATGTGAGTTTCAGTGCAGCTTCAAAGTCTCGACACGGGAATAAGAGTCTGATCTAGACAAACCAGCGGACATTTTATAAAAAAAAACATTTATATACTTTTTAACCACAAATGCTTTTAGTCTGTGTTGCCGAACAACAGTTTAGGTTTGTGGAGCATGTTAATCTGACAAACACAAGAAATGTAGATTTCAGCAAGAAAAAACACATCCATACGTCCTCCTTTACTCTGCATAAACATCATCCGGTGAGGAACGTTACCAAACTGCTATCATTTCATATTAGGAAAATAAAAAGGCCGGACATCAGCACGCTTCCCCATGGGCTGTTGTGAAACACCAAATAAATCTCAGTTTTCATCACAGCTTTTCCTAGTAAGGCTTGGAGTGATTCAGCAAAAGTTCATCAAGGCTGGTGAGAAGAACCCTAGATGAACTGTGTTCTGTTGACCATACAGATGTTTGAGCTCAGACTGAAACAAAGACCACACCGCGTTAGTGCAACAAGTCTATATATACAACCCGAACCCGGACACAGTAATGCGTCTCTATAGCACGTGTTCATCGTGCATTTTATACACGAAAATGAGTTTTTACGTGCATGTGATACGCATGGGTGGTTTAGTAGTGGTGTGGGGTGTGTGTGTATTATACGTTTGGGTAGAATTAGTGGTGTGCAATAAAGTGCGTATCATATGCACACGAAAACTGCACATCATATGCACGTAAAAAATAATTTTCGCCTGAAATTGCACGATAAACACAATACATGCTACAGAGACGCATTTTCATGAGATTATGAGTCTATTGCTCTTCTGTGAACTCAGAGACTTTCAGTCGGCCTTTACGTGAAGCTGGAGATGAGCGAGTGTGTGTTGTTGATTCACCTGGTCATGTGTTTCTGTGTGTGAGAGCCTTGATCATGGCTTTATATCACAGAGAAATTATAAAGATATTTGTTTTTCAAGGCTTTGAACCAGGGTTGTTCAACAGGGAGTCACATTTATTTAGCAAACACTTTAGAAAAGCACAGTATCTATCAATTTACATTACCGTTTAAAAGTGTGCTGTTTTTTTTGTTTTGTTTTTATAGCAAGGATGCATTAAATTTATCAAAAGTGACAGTAAAGATGTATAATATTACAAAAGATTTCAGTTTCAAAAGTTTTTTTACCTTTCTATTTATCAAAGATTTCTAAAACAAATATATATCACGGTTTCCTCAACTGTTTTTAACACTGATAATAATCATAAATGTTTCTTAAGCATCAAATCATCATATTAGAGTGATTTCTGAAGGATCATGTGACACTGAAGACTGGAGTAATGATGCTGAAAATTCAGCTTTGATCACAAGAATAAATTACACTTTACTATATATTCACATAGAAAACAGTTATTTGAAATTGTAATAATATTTCACTATTTTTACTGTATTTTTGATCAAATAAATGCAGCCTTGGTGAGCAGAAGAGACTAATTTCAAAAACATTTAAAAGTCTTACTGACCCCAAAACAAATGATTGGTATGCATGTTAACATTCAATCAAATTTAATTTATAGCTCACATTTAGATGGTTTATGATGTGCATCACTATGAGACAAAGATTGATTTTTAGAAAGAATGATCATATTTTAGCCACTATCAGTGTTTTAATGCACACTTTTCACAATCTTAATGTATATTAAGCATAAAGTATTGCCACCTTGTGTCTTTCTTTTGTGTGCATTTTGTGCCAGGTCTCTTTTTTAATGTTAATTTTAATGTTAATAAAAAATTATGCATCTGAAAAATGTGGTATCTGCAAAAATGTGGTATCTGCCCCAACCAATGTCTATGAAGAAGTGAAAATTATAGCACTATTAAGACACAAGTCAAATTATGCAGCATGCTATATGTTTGCGTCGGCTGTTCAAATCCAGAGGAAGTTTAGTTGTAGAGTGTTGACAAGTTTGACATTTTGTAAGACAGAAAGTGAAGAATGCTCTCTTTCCGAACAATCAGTATTGCACTTGTGTCTTAATATAGGATGTAAAAACACAGCCTGTCAGCGAAGAACAGAATACATCAGTTTGGCATCGATCATACGCAGAAACCGCGAACCGCCAGTCCATTAATCTTTGTTTCGAGACCGCAACAATGCACTTTATCTTCATGAGCATGATGTCACCGAGCAATATTTGATGTGGGTGGCTTTAAAGTGATTAGGTAGTGTGTTACAAGAACGTCTGTGAGATGGATGAAGTGTGGGGAACAAAACATTGAAAAAAGGGAAACAATCCCACTTAACAATAAGAGAATCACAGATTGTCCTCTAATGCCTGTTGTTGCATCACTGGCCTCTTTGGACATCCCTAAAATACAATACATTTTCCAAGTCTCTTTCCAAGATTCATCTTAGAAGAGATTTATAAAGCTCAATCTCTACTGTCTGATCTTATTTGTGGCGATGACTTTCAGGAAATGATTTTGTGGGGCTGTACATGTTTCATTTGGTGTTCCTTTCATTGCTGGCACGCCTATGCAGTTTAGTTTTTTGGCTTAGAGAATGACACAAAAAACTAGTCGGAGGGGTAATAACCCTCAGGTTAAGACCTTGGGCAGAACTATTGGTGACACAATGAAGCAAGATGGGAAAATCAAAGGCCGTCCTTTAACCACCGAACTCTGGGCGTCAATGTTGCATAAAACTAAGCGTTTGAACCCAAGCCTGCATTAAGTGAGGGTTGTGAATTTGCGGTTAAAATCCTCAAGTGTGGATGGATGGAGTTGAGTTACACGCTCTGTGTGGTTTCTGGATTATACGGTATGGGCTTTCCCAGCCAATGCCCTTTTTATGCCCTTTTATTTTTAGGCTCTACTAGAACAGGTTTTCCTGCTTGAATGTTGATTATTCTCCTCATATTCTCCATTGTTGCGGCTCCTCTCTTCCCAGTCTGTCAGTAACGCTAAGGACTGAGTTTCCCGAAAGCATCGTTAGCCAACTATGGTCGTGAGTTGCGTCGTTATCAGCAGTTCAACGAGTCGGTGTTTCCCGAAACCATCGTTCCAACAAAGATTCGCAAACAGCATCGCAGAGTTGTGTGTTTAGAGCGACAGATCTCGATCTTAGAAGCAGTTTCTAGATTGCATGACATGTGGACTCAATAAATCCTGATCTTGAGCAAAATAAGCAATCTGACATTCAGTGCAATCTGTGTCTTTTATTTAGAATACACACAAATGTCATTTAGTTTTGAGTTTGTCAAGAGATTTAAAGCGCCGCATCTGTGAAGGAGCTCTAGTGCGTAAGAACGAGTCTATGATTGAATCTGGAAATAAAGCGAAATAACTGAGAAAAGTTTGAAATATTCCTCAGATGCCATGTCTGTAATTTATAGCGAAACATCTAGCATTAATTCGATCTCAAACAGATTCATTAAAAGTAGTTATTACTCCACATGCGTGATATCATTAACCAACGTGGTTGAACGACCAATTTGCGCCAATACAGTTTCGGGAAACAGTCGTGACGAGCTAGTCATCGTATGATAGTGAAGCAGCGAGTTACGGTGTTGTACGGGAAACACACCCCTGTTTACTTCCTGTCTCTATGAAGCCCCTCCTTCTGAAAAGCACACTGTGCTCTGATTGGTCGGCTGGATCAGTGTGTTGTGATTGGTCGAGCGCTTCGAGTGTGTTTGGGAAATGTCCCGCCCCTTACCATAACCGCCAGTTAAACACACTACTGACTAACTCAACCAGGCCCCGCCCCTTTATTCTGCGTATTAATTATTATAATGAGGAATATTGTGACGTGTTCGTTCCCGGGAGAAACTCAAGACTACAATGGAGGCGTTTCAGGAGTTCAGAAACACTGACACTGATATAGAGAAGAACTCCCGCTGGAGGGACATGCTCAAACAGCAACATCACACACTGAAGAGAGATGAACATGGAAAAAATGCTAACTCTGAAGAATGGAAACGCGGGTCATGAGTGTGAAGGAATTCTGCATAAATCACTCATGGATGTTTCTGGCAGTAAATCCAAGGTCTCCTTGTTTAAAAGTCTCTCTTCTCTTCTCTCTTCTCTCTTCTCTTCTCTTCTCTCTTCTCTTCTCTCTTCTCTCTGTCTCAGGTTGTTCCTGAAGAGCCACAGTGGGACGGCGGGCCGGCAGAGCAGTTTGGCGATCCACGGCACTGACTTCAGCACTAAAGACATGGACAATGACAACTGCACATGCAAGTGTGCGCTGATGCTCAGCGGGGGTGAGCCACACACCTCTCATTTAAACATCTATTGCAACACAATCTTGTTCCTTTTGCAGATACCCATGATTCTCAGGAAGAGGCTGACACTGCTTTAGTGCCGGATAAATACAACTGGAGAAGTATAATATACAGTACATTTGTTTAAGATATGCAGCAAATGCTGGGAACAGATTCTAAGGGACAGTTCTATTAGCGATTCTTTTGTAAATACTAATCGTGTCATTTACTGTCCTCAGCTCAGCTGTCTGTTGCCAAATGATGATTTAATCTCTTTTAAATTGGACATGACAAAGTATTAACTTCGCATTAAACATTAATCCAACAGATTAATTTAGGTGTTTTGGATTCACTACAAAGAATCAACTGATTAGATTTATTAATTTAGTAATCAATGTAATGCATATGCAGGGCCGGATTAAGAGTTCAGAGGGCCCTGGGCACAATGTCGTGTAGGCCCCCTCTTAGGTAGGGCAAATGTATATTTTGCCCAAGGACATTTTAATATGGCATTTACAGTTCTACTGACTTAAAAGGAGTAAAGTTCCTAAATGGTCGTTCTTTCCCATAGGAATTTGTAAAACTATGTTGGGTGGACCTCTGTGCCTCTAGGGGGGTTCGGGGGCATGCTCCCCCGCAAGAAAATTTTGTACATTTTATGGTTAAATGCATCAATCTGGTGCTCTTTGAGAGATCAAAATTAAGAGCTTCAACCCATGAACTGCTCGTTGAACAAAGAAAAATCATTGATTTGTACCTGGACATTAAAGAGGGCTCAAACATCTTTTTAGTTATGAGAGTCTCAGTCTACATTACATTATCAATGGTGTTTTAGGATGCCAAACAATTATTATAATAATGTAATAATGATTTATATAATTATTCCTATGACGTAAAATCCGTATAGCCTATAAATGTACTATAAATGAAAATGAATATTTCAAAAGTATATTTTAGTCTACATTACACTATAATACAGGAAAATTAAAATACTTTTGTCCTAATTTCTTCACTTGCAAGAAACCCTTGAGCTTTTATTTAGGAGAAAACACCAGATCACCATGCTGATCGCGTGAGCAAAGAGCGCACTTTTCTTTAAATCACCCAGCACACACAGGATGCCTATTCTTAAAGTCTTGTGCTGTTTTATAAATGCACAAAGCCATATCATGGTTTCGATTTTATTTCGTTGGCAAAATATAACGCTAGAGACCTTTATGTTAGGTTATACATTTTACATCTCATATGTGTTGGGAAAAGGGAGAAGAGAGAGTTCGGCAAAAGGCGGATTCGAACTCGGGTCGAGCGCATCAAAAGCTATTATCAAGCAGTTCGCGCGCTACAACCTACGCCACTGTAGCTATTCCGTGATGGGCGTCTTTTTGGTAAAATGACAGGCACTTAGTGCAAATATACGCTCCGTTATCTAAAATATTTTTTTCCTTCCCCTCGCTTGGGCCACAAGTGCGCATGGCGAACTTGCAATGAATACATTTTATCAGACCGGCTCTCGCGGCCTCGAAACACTACCGGCCCACCGGGGAAACTCCCGACTCTCCCGATTGCCACTCCGCCCCTGGTGCCCAGGGCCCCTTAGATGTCATGGGCCCCTGGGCAAGTGCCCAGTTGCCCTAATGGTTAATCCGGCCCTGTGCATATGTTTTCATGAGTTTTCATTGTTTTGTATGAGTCACTCAGTAACAGTGTATTTGTGTACAGAGTTACATTCACATCTGCAAAACTTTGCTAATGTTTAACTCTTTCCCCACCAGCATTTTATTTTGTACATAATATTTTGTTATATGAATATATACAGTAAACTGTCAATATATCAAAAGATAGAACAGAGCCTTCTGATTGGCAGTAATTTAGGATTGATTTTATTGTGAGTGCAGTGTGCTTGCACAGAGACTCCGTCCACACGCTCTTCTGATTGGCTGTGAGTGCAGTGTGCTTGCACAGACTCCGCCCACACAGTCTTCTGATTGGCTGTGAGTGCAGCGTGCTTGCACAGAGACTCCGTCCTCACGCTCTTCTGATTGGCTGTGAGTGCAGCGTGCTTGCACAGAGACTCCGCCCACACGCTCTTCTGATTGGCTGTGAGTGCAGCGTGCTTGCACAGAGACTCCACCCACACGCTCTTCTGATTGGCTGTGAGTGCAGCGTGCTTGCACAGAGACTCCGTCCTCACGCTCTTCTGATTGGCTGTGAGTGCAGCGTGCTTGCACAGAGACTCCGCCCACACGCTCTTCTGATTGGCTGTGAGTGCAGCGTGCTTGCACAGAGACTCCGTCCTCACGCTCTTCTGATTGGCTGTGAGTGCAGCGTGCTTGCACAGAGACTCCGCCCACACGCTCTTCTGATTGGCTGTGAGTGCAGCGTGCTTGCACAGAGACTCCACCCACACGCTCTTCTGATTGGCTGTGAGTGCAGCGTGCTTGCACAGAGACTCCGCCCACACGCTCTTCTGATTGGCTGTGAATGCAGTGTGCTTGCACAGACTCCGCCCACACGCTCTTCTGATTGGCTGTGAGTGCAGTGTGCTTGCACAGAGACTCCGCCCACACGCTCTTCTGATTGGCTGTGACTTTGAATGCGTAACAGCACCCCTACCATATAACAGTGAAACAACTTGTCAACAGTGGGGAAAGAGTTAAGAACCACAAATGGATCGACATGAATCATTCAGTAAAAAAAAAAAAAAAATTCAAATAAACTACTTAAATAGCTACTATAATGTTACTCTCTACATAGACTTTGTGAAGTGGGCAGACAGTAGGATCCAGTCTAAACACAGTGTGTGTCTGTGTACACCTCATGCTTTCTTTTTGGCAGAGGAACTGCATGAAGCTTGAGCACGTAGTAATGAGGTCTTTGTGGACTGTGAGGAGTCTAGCAGAATGGGCTGAGCACCAACTATCTGTACAGGACTCGCATAGTCTCTCCTCCTGGATTCAGACCACCGGCAGCTTATGCTTTTCATACAGAAAGCTCTTATTTAATCATTTAATAAAACAGGCACTGAGAGAGATCCTGTCCACCCGAATCTGCCATCACCTTCTCCGTCCTTGGTGGCCAGAATCTAAACGGGACCCTGACAGTGATTCATCTCTGAGATATTTAATATCAGGATGAGAATAAATATGAGCCTTACAGTAGGGTGACATGCATAAATATGCTGTATATGCAAGGGGATTTGAGCAATGCAAATAATAGAAAAGAATAGTGTCACGGTGAAAGATTTTTAATGAGTTTGTAATGAAAAAACTGCGGAAATGTCTCGAAGTAGAACCCTTTAAATTCTGTAAGTGCTTTAATGAAATACATATTGGTTCCAGTTCTGGTTTATATCATGCAATCAAACTTTTATCATTCTGTTGCCTCATTTCTTGTTATTCGGTGTGGTTAACAAGCCTATAAAACACAGCGAGGCACTCGCCGCATAAAGGCCTGAGATGAGAAGCATAGTAACAAGTAGAATCAGCATCCAATCAGTTTACTGTGTCAGAGAGAGTGGTGACGAAGGGCAGCGATGTTGGCTCGCGGGCGGCTGGAGAAATGGCACAGATCTCTCTGGCATTTGAGCCTGTGAAGTGAACCTCAAGTCCTTCATGGGAAAGAGACGTGCTAAAAGGGGCACCATGTGGGCACAGTTTGTGTGTACGTGTCTGAAGGCTAGATGACTGCAAAAAATTATGTTCTTACTCAGTATTTTTGTCCTGTTTTCCAGTACAGGCATCTAAACATTCTTAAATCAAGATATATTTACTGGAGAAGCAAAATGATGAAAGATATTAAGTCTTGTTTTCTGATAAGTGAGTTTGTGCTTAAAACAAGAACAAATATCTGTCAGTGGAGGCTGAAAAATAATATTTTTTTCCCCCATTTGGTTGTGAGTGCAGTGCGCTTGCAGAGAGACTCCGCCCACACTCTCTTCTGATTGGCTGTGACTCTGGATTGATTTAGTTGTGAGTGCAGTGCGCTTGCAGAGAGACTCCGCCCACACTCTCTTCTGATTGGCTGTGACTCTGGATTGATTTAGTTGTGAGTGCAGTGCGCTTGCAGAGAGACTCCGCCCACACACTCCTCTGATTGGCTGTGACTCTGGATTGATTTAGTTGTGAGTGCAGTGCGCTTGCAGAGAGACTCCGCCCACACTCTCTTCTGATTGGCTGTGACTCCGGATTGATTTGGTTGTGAGTGCAGTGCGCTTGCAGAGAGACTCCGCCCACACACTCCTCTGATTGGCTGTGACTCTGGATTGATTTAGTTGTGAGTGCAGTGTGCTTGCAGAGAGACTCCGCCCACACTCTCTTCTGATTGGCTGTGACTCCGGATTGATTTGGTTGTGAGTGCAGTGCGCTTGCAGAGAGACTCCGCCCACACTCTCTTCTGATTGGCTGTGACTCTGGATTGATTTGGTTGTGAGTGCAGTGGCTTGCAGAGAGACTCCGCCCACACTCTCTTCTGATTGGCTGTGACTCTGGATTGATTTGGTTGTGAGTGCAGTGGCTTGCAGAGAGACTCCGCCCACACTCTCTTCTGATTGGCTGTGACTCTGGATTGATTTGGTTGTGAGTGCAGTGCGCTTGCAAAGAGACTCCGCCCACACTCTCTTCTGATTGGCTGTGACTCTGGATTGATTTGGTTGTGAGTGCAGTGCGCTTGCAGAGAGACTCCGCCCACACACTCTTCTGATTGGCTGTGACTCTGGATTGATTTGGTTGTGAGTGCAGTGCGCTTGCAGAGAGACTCCGCCCACACACTCTTCTGATTGGCTGTGACTCTGGATTGATTTGGTTGTGAGTGCAGTGCGCTTGCAGAGAGACTCCGCCCACACACTCTTCTGATTGGCAGTGACTCTGGATTGATTTGGTTGAGAGTGCAGTGCGCTTGCAGAGAGACTCCGCCCACACACTCTTCTGATTGGCTGTGACTCTGGATTGATTTGGTTGTGAGTGCAGTGCGCTTGCAGAGAGACTCCGCCCACACGCTCTTCTGATTGGCTGTGACTCTGGATTGATTTGGTTGTGAGTGCAGTGCGCTTGCAGAGAGACTCCGCCCACACACTCTTCTGATTGGCTGTGACTCCGGATTGATTTGGTTATGAGTGCAGTGCGCTTGCAGAGAGACTCCGCCCACACACTCTTCTGATTGGCTGTGACTCTGGATTGATTTGGTTATGAGTGCAGTGTGCTTGCAGAGAGACTCCGCCCACACTCTCTTCTGATTGGCTGTGACTCTGGATTGATTTGGTTGTGAGTGCAGTGCGCTTGCAGAGAGACTCCGCCCACACACTCCTCTGATTGGCTGTGACTCTGGATTGATTTGGTTGTGAGTGCAGTGCGCTTGCAGAGAGACTCCGCCCACACACTCTTCTGATTGGCTGTGACTCCGGATTGATTTGGTTATGAGTGCAGTGCGCTTGCAGAGAGACTCCGCCCACACACTCTTCTGATTGGCTGTGACTCTGGATTGATTTGGTTATGAGTGCAGTGTGCTTGCAGAGAGACTCCGCCCACACTCTCTTCTGATTGGCTGTGACTCTGGATTGATTTGGTTATGAGTGCAGTGCGCTTGCAGAGAGACTCCGCCCACACACTCTTTTGATTGGCTGTTATTTTGGATTGATTTTGTTCCATCTCATACTCATCTCGTAGTTTTTTTCAGTATATCGCATTGTAAGTTTGGCCTTGTCAACAGTGGCTTTTAATGTAATGTGGTTGTATTTTTATGAGAAATATTCCCTTGTTATATGATTTATATCATATAGTATTGCATGTTAGCTTTCTTTCAGGATATTGTGATACTGAACACATACACAGAAAAAATTACTATCTGACTCAGTGATTTTGACTTGTTTTGCATTACAAAATATCTAAACATTCTTAAATCAAGATACATTTACTTGACAAGTCTTGTTTCAGGAGAAAAATAATCTAAATTAAGTGACTTTATGCTTAAAACAAGACAAAAAGTAGTCAGAAAAATATCCAACTCCACTGACAGATATTTTTTCTTGTTTGAAGCACAAACTCCCTTCATTTAAAAACTTTTTTTAAACAAGACTTAATATCTTCAATCATTTTTTTTTTTTTAAGAAAACAAGACTTTATATCTTCAGTCATGTTGCATAATGTATCTTAATTTCAGAATGTTTAGATAGTTGGAAATCAAGATTCATCATTTGTTGCAGAACTGCATTAATGGTTGTAAACGTGTGTGTGTGTGTGTGTGTGTGTGTGTGTGTGTGTGTGTGTGTGTGTGTGTGTGTGTGTGTGTGTGTGTGTGTGTGTGTGTGTGTGTGTGTGTGTTTTAGGATGGTGGTACGATGCCTGCGGTCCATCCAACCTGAACGGCGTTTACTACAGACAAGGACAGCACGTCGGAAAATTCAATGGAATCAAGTGGCACTATTTTAAAGGCCCGAGTTACTCTCTCCGATCCACTGTCATGATGATCCGACCGGCCGACTTCTCGTAGTCCTCCACAAATATCCCCGAAAGCTTTGGAAAGTGTTATTTCTTCGGCCCGTGACGTATAATGCAGCTTTCATTTGAGATAACACTCCTTGAAACAGGAATCCTGTGAATACGGGGCTGTCCTGTCACCTTCATGGAGAGATGGAAAACTCCCTGGGAATTTAGGGCAGGAGCGGACTTGGCTATAGGCTTTTATTTTTAAATATCAGAGGTATGAATTCAAGTGCCATTCACTTGTCACTCAGGACCTGTGGACTGTTTTAACGCAGACACATCAGCTTTGATGAAGTGCGCCGCCCTGCAATCGCCTGGCTTTCAAATCCGAATTTAAAGCAGCTTGAATGTCCTTCAGTATCCTAAAAGGACCTATTAATGTTTTATACAAACGTGTTGCACAGTTATATTTGGGTTATGATACTTTACTTCACATTTTTATGCTCTTTTTTTATCCCAGTATATTATTACTTTTTTATTTTGTACATTATTCCTGTCAAAGTGAAGAAAACCATAGCATGCAGCATTAAAGGTGACTTATAGTGCTATTTACAAGGGACATTTTCAGCACAGAAGAGCACAGCCGTCCTCCAGCCTGAGAGAAAGTTATTCTTAGTAGTTTTGCCTTGCTTTTCATTTGAAATAATCCAAAATATATGTGTATATATATACAGGTGAAATTCGAAAAATTAGAATATGGTGCAAAAGTTCATTTATTTCAGTAATTCAACTTAAAAGGTGAAACTAATATATTATATAGATTCATTACATGCAAAGTGAGATATTTCAAGCCGTTATTTGTTATAATGTTGATGATTATGGCTTACAGATATGAAAACCTTTTCACAATATTCTAATTTTGAATTTGGGGTTTTCATAAGCTGTAATCCATAATCATCAAAATTATAACAAATAACGGCTTGAAATATCTCACTTTGCATGTAATGAATCTATATAATATATTAGTTTCACCTTTTAAGTTGAATTACTGAAATAAATGAACTTTTGCACGATATTCTAATTTTTCGAGTTTCACCTGTATATATATTAAATTAAGATACATTTACTTGAGAAGCAAAATAAGTGAAAAAGTGAGTTTGTCCTTAAAACAAGAACAAATGTCTGTCAGTGGAGTCATAAAAATAATCTTAATTCACAGGGAAAACTAAATCTGAAAAATCATCTTGTTTTCCCTTTGAACACGTCAGATATTTGTTCTTGTTTTAAGCACAAACTCACTTCATTTTGATGATTTTTTTCTCCAGTAAATGCATCTTGATCTTGAAACCGAGACAGAAACAACTGTGCTGTGTGCAAAGTGAATATTATTAACGGCTTTGAACTTTTGTGAACACATCATTGCTTGGCATCAAATTTTGAATGCATGCCAAAGATCACAGCTATTACAGATAATACCATAAAAATATTGATCTAATATTAATCACCGTTACAACTGATGAACTAAAGCCAATGGCACATACAGTACTGGTGCAGTATAACACAAATAACACTGTTTTAATTCACTCATACCATTCTGTCTTATGCGAATCTGTCATTTTTAAGAATGTTTTGCCGTTTTATATGTAGTAGCTCTTCTCAAAAGCAGTGTTATTCTTCCCGACAAGCTTGGATGATCTTTAACATTTATCCTTGAGCCTAAGGTTTGCAGGAGAGTTGAATAATTGTGAATTATTGAAAGGAAAAGCTTTCATGGAGTCAGGTAAGCGCCTGAGTTTCATTTGTCTGTGAAGTTTATCTGTTGCGGTTTTAGAGCCGGATCACACAGAATGCATTTGCTTTTAACAGTTTTTATATTTAAACATTCTTTGCTGCTTGTTGTCCTGCATTCTTCTCCATTCTCATGCTTTCCATTCCACTGCGCTGCATTTACACACTTCACATGTAAACATGCGCCGGACAGACTCCACGTCATGCTTCGTCAGCGGTTTATGCATGATAATCACGGTTTCGACTTTTAAAGTTGACCGAAACCTTGCATTGTTTTCCAGCAGCTACGAGGTGGCTAATTCGTAACAATTCGTACGACCTCACTCGTACGAATTAGTGCGATTTTTGCTCAATTTTACGAGTTGCCCAATTCGTATGAATTCGTACGAATGACATACCCCTGACCCCGCCCCTAAACCTACCTATCACGTGGGTTTAGACAAATCGTACAAATTCGTACGAGTGAGGTCGTACGAATTAGCCACCTTTAAATCACTCGTACAAATTCGTACGAATTGGTCGTGAGATAGCGTTGGAACGGCCCATTTTCAGTAACAATTTACAGTAAGAGTCCATTTGTTGAACTAACAATGAAAAAAAGCATTTAAAACATCAAAAGTTGCATCTGGTAATTCTGTTTAATTCTCCTGACATGAACTATAACAGATGTGTTTTATTAGGGGTGGAACGATATCCTCATGTCACGATTCGATACATATCACGATACTGAACGTCTCTATAGCACGCATTGTGTTTTATCGTGCAATTTATACGCGAAAATTAGTTTTACGTGGATATGATACACAGTTTTCGCGTGCATTTGATACGCAGTTCATTTGCGTGTAATACACACGCACCCCACACCACTACTACCCTAACCAACCCATGCGTATATCATATGCACGTAAAAACTCATTTTCGCGTATAGATTGCACGATAAACCATACCTGTCAACACTCCCGTTTTTCCTGGGTTTCTCCCGTTTATTAGCCCTATCTCCCGGACCCCTCCCGGTTTGTTATTTCTCCCGGGAAAGTCCCGTAATTTATGAGTCCCCAAACTCCTTTATGAATAATCGGACCAATATGTTTGTCTAATGTTGACAAGTTGCCAGAAATGCATTGTATCCACTCAATCCACACACAATTTCAACCCGTTTGTCACCTATAACCAGTGTTCGGCAGTAACGCGTTACTAGTAACGCGTTACTGTAACGCAGTTACTTTTGACAGTAACTAATACTGTAACGCATTACTTTTTAAATAAAGTAACTCCGTTATCGTTACCATATGGTGCGTTGTCCGTTACTTTTTTAAATTAATTAGTTGCTGGAGCGGCTGAGAAGTGTGCGCTGTTACACAGTACGAGATCACTGAAGAGACTGCTAGCATTATACAGAGCGAGAGGACACATAAACTCACTGGCTGAGTTGTTTACGTTAACACGTGAGGCAGCGCGAGCACGGAGATTACAAGCTGCACGGAGAGCGCTGAGCACTTCAGATGCGCATTTAAAACACAGACAGCGAAACGGTATGAATACAGAACACTAAAGTACACATTGCCATATCATTATAAAGTAATATTTTGTCTAGATGCTGCATCAACAGAGAAAGAACAGAAGCTTGCCGTCGAGTCTGAGAGGAATAACATTAGTAACGGCTAACTTACCTCAAGCGATTAAAGCAATGTGACCAAAACACACGCAGACCTGACCCAGATGTTTTATGTCGCAATTGTTACCATCTATTTGCATTAGTTTATATCCAGCTGGTCACTGTTATGCATTCATTAGCCGGCGAAGTTGTATTTTTAAAGCTGACGTGATTGCTTACATTGATATGTTCATGCAGCGACATCAAGTTTCCTAATCAAGTGTTCTAAAATTTAAGCAAATAAAGTGAAAGACTATACATGTAATATATAGGTCTACATTTATGTAATTTTAATGCTCTGGCCTTTGCAGATATTTAAATATGGCCATCTTCTATAAGCTTGAATCATATAAAATGGTAACACTTTACAATGAGATTACAATTTTAGCATTAAATATGGTTAATAAATGTTGTAGAAGTATCATTCATTGTTAGTTTTTTAATTTCAACATTTACTTAATACATTTGAAATTGAGTTTAAATTGTTATTGTATCTGTTATTACCTTAGTTAATTAGCCTACTATGAACTAACAAGAATGATCAAGGTACAATTGTATTGCTCAAATATTCATTCATGCAGTAAAAACGTATTACTGTCAGCTGCATGAACATATCAATGTTGAGAAAGCAAACACATCACTAGCTTTACACATGCTTGTTTTGTTATTTATTTCAGAAATCCTTGTGATATATTCAGTTTGTGCTGGTCTGACTTAAATAAAATAGTGTTTAAAAATTACTTTCTGTTTAAGTCAGTTTTGTGTTTGTATAGACCATAACGCATAAAAGGGCATTAATGGGAACATTAAAGAACTTTCTTTAAAAAAGTAACTAAAAAGTTACTTTTCACAGTAACGCATTACTTTTTGGTGCAAGTAATCAACAAAGTAATTGAGTTACTTTTTGAATGAAGTAACTAGTAACTGTAACTAGTTACTATTTCTTAGTAACTAGCACAACACTGCCTATAACCCAGTTGTGCAGTCGCAGAAAGTTTAACCCGAAAGCGAGCCGATAGACATGGTGGAGGGGGTGTCTACCTCTTGCGCCGAACGGTCTCCGCACAAATCTCCCGGATTTTGAAAACCAAATGTTGACAGGTATGCGATAAACTCACTGCGTGCTACAGAGACGCATTTAGTGTGATCGGGTTGATTATTGAGATACTCCAAGGTTATCAAAAAATGTACTTTTGATTAAAATGCTAAATTTGGTGTTACATTTGTCGGTGAAAACTTACATTTTTTCACGACAGTAATTTTTATTTTGGGTGAAATATACACAATATTGCCACTATCCACGATACATGTTGTTGTATTGCGATATATCGTGACACAATATATTGTTACACCTCCTAATTTGCAGTGTAAACATTAGCAAAGGTTAATGAACACAGTTTATGTTAGTTAATGCATTAACTAATGCGACCTTTCTGTGATGTGTTACCACACTTTACAACTGTACATACATTTTTTTTTGGATTTGTGGAAAAAAAGCATAATTTTGTCATTTTTTTTGAGTTGTCAGGATTGTAAAGAGATGTTATTTTTAGCTCACAGAAGTTCTACTCGCTTCTGTCTTTCATCACAAAAGTCTGATAATAATCTTCTATCTTTATGTAAGTTTACTACTGTCTTCCATCAGACAACAACAGCATGGAGTGTGTTACTGGAACAGGTACTTTATTGCAAATCCATAAACCGGCTTTTCAGCTGGAGAACGGCATGTTTATGATCACACTGCAATAACTGTGTTCGAAATTGCTTTTCAGAGGAAAGCACTGCTTTACTTTTATTTTTTATTAGCGCAGAGGCATCAATATGTTTCGAATGAACAAAGATGTAGCTAAAGCAACAATAATGGTATGGACTTTAAAAAAAATCTCATTTAAATTTCATTTGCCATGTTATTTAAACACTTCGTCCTTTGTAACAATGTTCATGATGTCAGTTCAAATAATAAAATAAACTAATGCCTCATGCTTAACTGAATCAGCAGTGGTTTAGTCATTTATTAATGCACTGCTAAAAAAAACTCCACTGAGATATTTTTCTTGTTTCAATGAATGAAGTGCTTTTATTATGTAATATTAAGCACTTATTTTATTTTTCACAACCTAACGCTCTTTGACTTTCTCAGTTTGTGTAAACCTACTTCGAGTTCAGAGTCTCTTACATGAATTTCAA